ATTTATATATAAAATTAAATTATGTTGAATAATTGTGATCTTTGAATTTTATTGATTATTCTGTTTTTAGTATCTATGACTTTATTAATAAATCGATGGCAAAAGAAAGAAAGAAAATGTTAGATGAAAATATGTTTGTTTATCTGCAATTTTTTTCTTCTTTCGAATGAATACATATAATACTGTTTATACTACTGATGTCTATAATATTACTAATAATATGAAATGACAATTATTTCTTTTTTTTCATATAAATCTATTGAAGAGCATTTATATTTATAATGAATTTGTAAGTTATTTTAATTACAATCAGTTGAGTGGAACTCGTCACTATACATCAACTTCATTGATTATGAAAAGGCATTTGACAGTGTAGATAAGAAAACATTATGGAAACTTATTCGAAATTATAGAGTTCCTGAGTAGATTGTCAACATTATCTGGAACTCATATGACGGACTACAGTGCAAACTCATGCATGGAGGACACCTGACAGATGCATTCCAAGTAAGGACCGGAGTCAGACAAATCTGTTTACTCTCTCCCTTCCTCATTCTTCTGGTAGTTTACTGAATTATGAAGACCTCGACATCTAAGGGAAAACACGGCATACAATGGACAGCTCAGAACCAATTAGACGATTCGGACTTCACAGAGGATCTAGCCCTCCTATAGCATACACACAAACAAATGCAGATAAAGACAGCCAGTGTAGCAGAAGTCTCTGCATCAGTAGGCCTCAGCATATACAAGCGGAAAACCAAGGTCCCTAAATACAACACGGGGAGCACCAATACAAACACACTTGATGGCGAAACTCTGGAAGATATGGAATCTTTCACATACCTGGGAAGCATCATCGGTGATTAAGGAGGATCAGATGCAGACGTAAAGGCAAGGATTGGCTAAGCAAGGGCCGCATTCCTAGAAGTGAAGAACATATTGAACTCAAAACAACTGTCAACTAATATCAAAGTCAGAATCTTCAATACGAACGTCTAGACAGTTCTACTGTACAATGCTGAAACTTGGAGAACTAGCACAACCATCATCAAGAATGTACAAGTATTCATAAAAAGTTGTCTACGCAAGATACTCAACATCCATTGATCAGATACTATCAGCAACAGCTTTCTGTGGGAGAGAACAAATCAGCTTCCATTTGAGGAGGGAATTAGGAAAAGACGATGGAAATGGATAGGACATACATTACGCAAATCATCAAATTGCATCACGAGGCAAGCCCTAACTTGGAATCCTGAAGGGAACAGGAAAAGAAGAAGACCAAAGAACATATTAGGTCGAGAAATAGAATCAGGTATGAAAAGGATGAATAACGATTGGAAGGAATTGGAAAGGACTGTTCAAGACAAGGTTGAATGGAGAATGCTGATGAGCGGCCTATGCTCCTTTAAGAGGAGTAACAGACGTTAGTAAGTTTAATTACAAATGAAGCCGAAGATCAATAATTCAACTGAAGTGGAAGTTCGTAGTCCAGTTATCAGTTGAAATCTCCATAAGCTTGGATTGTAATGATGATCACCTCTATTCAACATCATTTATTAGATTATAGTGAAGAGGTTTTAGTACGAAATATCCAATATTGTAGAAAACTTGTTTTACACCCAGTTAGCTTCTGAATTCTCAAAGCAATTTATCTATCTAGTCTCTCTCTCTCTCTCTCTATATATATATATATATATATATATATATATATATATATATAAACTTACTGAAATTAGTGTTTTATACTGATGGGACTTTTAATCATACTACAATTATTTGTGGCTTATATTACTGAAATCACAGATCTTGGGGAGACGGTTACTTAAAGCAGTCATTTATCTTGATTTAAGGCACTAGAGAGAGGTGTTTTCTCATATTTCTTTCAGTTGTGATATAAAATATATGACCTCAGTGAATTGATAACACTTTCTTTTATTAAAAGAATAAACTTATAGTCTAATTAAATTGTATGTGAATAGATGATTTTTGTTTTGATTGCAACTTTATGTATTACTCTCAGGATTGCCAATGTCAAATTTGTCCATAGAAAAATGACATCATTTGCCGAAGTATTGAGGTATTATTTTCGTGTTACCCTTAACTAGATATTAAAGATTTTGTTGATATTCTTCATTAGAAAGTCAGTATTTTCACTTTTCTTATTTCTCAGCTAATTATGTCATTTTTGACAGAATTTTTTTATATTACAAACATATTTATTGGTACATGAAGGAAGTCAATTTATTACTATCAGAAACTAAGCATAAATGCCAATATTTGATTAATTTTTTTTAGAAATTAATCACAGTGACCAATATGTAGTTGGCTTTCTATCTATTTGACAGTTTTTGTTTTAGCGAATTTCAAGGTATTGTTGTTGTTATGTGATTCGTCAAAGTTATTAGTGTTTTCTTTAGATAAATGTTAACTAATCAATTTATTCAATAATTTTTTTCATTACTAACAGTGAAAATCAGCATTTATTTGTTCATAATGTACACTGATTAATCATTGGCTAGTGACCAAAGTTATATTTATCTAGCACTCAGTAATGGTTAATTTCTGAAATGTGGCCACTAGTCTCAAGGAATGTACATTGTGTTTGATGCAAGATGGTTTAAGGTAGTAGACCGGAAACCCTGAACCAATGTTTGATTTCAGCTGGCACTCATCATCAAGGTGTATCTGAAATTGTATTGGATACTGGTGCGGGTTGTGAGACATGGATATGTGTCACTTAGCTTTATAGTCTGAAACCATGATATGAAAAACCCTATCTAAATGATGTAGTTTACTAATCTAAGATGTATTATTGAGTTGGGTGATTTGTAAAGATTTAAGAAGATTTCAGCCTATGCAACCCAAACTGTTTGTAAAAAAAGTATTTTGGTCATTATTCACGTCATTCTCTGTGAAGAAACAGTTCTCTATTTAATTAACCTGTGAATAGTTCCTTGAATTTCACAACTAATAGTGGTAATACAATTAAACAAACTAAAATATCAGAGAGAATTCTGTGATTTAATGGTAATTAGTGATGTTTCAAAAGCGAATTAGAAATCTAGTTTCTGAAATCGAAATCAGTTCAATTTATAGGGATCATCATCACGATGAAATATGCTAACGAAATTTGAGGTATGAAGCTACCAGCAAAAGTGGCATATTTACTACAAAAAAGCATTCGATGAAGTCCCATATTCTAGGCTGCTATCTATATATAACAACACTCAAACTAGTGGGAATTCAAGTCATAGTTTAAGGACTTTACAGCTGGTTATCGTCAAGCAGTTAAGGCAGAAAATAACGTGGAGTAGCTTTAGTGACAATGTTATTTTCTTCGTACTCAAACGACAACAAGATAAGGACACTTAGAGGCGTGAGTAATATATGGATATATTAGTTCGACGTTCGAGTTCAATAAATACCAGTTGTTGCTATCGATTGCACGATAATCCATATTTATTGTGAAACGACGATCATATACATACTGAATTGTTACTTTCGGTGCAAACACATCCAAGAGAATTATTATACGTCGAGACTTGAAAACCACTGCATATTGTAAGACAACAGATATAAAGAGTTTAAGGATCTTTAACATAAAACATTTTAGTCGCCTAAATGCTACAGAGTGTAGTCTGGAGTACAGTGGTCAAACACCGTATGAAAAAGACTATGAACTACTCGAAAAATCACGACAAAGCGACCTCAGGAACATACTATTATGATAGAAGAAACTTCAGCGACTTGGTTATAATATCCCGTCTACTTAACACTGATTTTTGTAACTTCACTTTTCTTGCTTTACAGATAAGAAAACAATCTAGAGCACAACAAAAAATCAGATATTACGAACCAGTTATTATCAAACTGATTACCAACCTTTACATTAAGCCATGAGTGACTAAAATCGTATCAACAAGTAGTAATGGCCTCGTTAAATTTATACTCGAAATAAGGTTAGATTAATTAAGAAACAACTATCTACAAAGCAAGTATAGACTTTACTAACTCCCTGTTCACATTAAGTGAAATATGTATTTCTAAACTACTTACTTGACTGATAATTATTTCTTGTTAGCACTTTTATGGTATATTATAGCAAATGAAATTCCGAATTGGCTGAAAATTGGATACGGAACACTTATGAATCACATGAACAATCAAGCGATGGATATCCGTACTGTCCATTTGTCACAATGATGTAACTGTTTTGAGAGTAACTTTGCAGGTTATTACAGGGTAATCGACCAGCAGATACTTAAAAAAGCTTCTTAGAATACAATCTCAACTGTTTTACGTGAAAATAAGCTATGATTATGATCGGATCTTCCAGCCACAAACTGAAAGGATAAAACATATAACTAAACGTTGTCACTGTGTTTTAAGAGATATGGATAAAGATAGAGATTTGTTAGAATGAATATTAAAATTACAATATCTACGTTACATATTTTGCCGAAAGGTCATGTAATTTCTCTTTCAGCAGTTATTGATTGTCAACGAAAATAACTGACCTTCCGTAGTATAGTTAAACCAGAGGAGAACGAGAGAAGATACACTAGTTGAACGAAGATTGCAAACATTTAGTTCCTTTGAGTCTGATTTTAAGAGGACTTTGTTTAATGTCACCAGTTTAACGTTCAGCTTGTCAACGGTAAATAGTGTAGGGCTTATTAATGTACTGAATATTACACAACTGTTGGAGTGTAGATCATTCTATGTACAAGTGACATTTAGCAAATTTTCAGCATTAACCCCTTTAATCGACGTAGGGGTTTTGAGAGGTTAACATTTACAACTTCACTTATCGAAACCCTGCCGTTTATTCTCACATATCTGTATAAATAGACGAGAACTATTTGCACAAAGAAAACTATATACAATCGACTTTGTTTAAAATATAGTAAATGATTAAAGCAGAAAACACAACATATTTTTACATTAGTTAAATAAAAAGAATAAATCAAGAAGTAACATATTGAAGAAAATCACTACACTACAATTAATGGATTCGGTTGTAAGAATGAATTAGAAATAATTTGTCGAAATACATTCAATTCTTCATCTGTAATCCATGAAGGTGCGAGAAATTGTATAGATCGTAAATTGGGACCACGCCATGTAATCAATTCCATCAATGCACCTTTAACAGCTTTAAGTACTGTTTCGACACGTTTAGCTCTCCATGATCTATCCATATTCTTTTATCAAAATTGAACAAAAAAACAGTATTCAGGTGGAAGTTATTGAAAGGTAGAAGAATATTTAGTTACTTATAAATATCAATTACATGTTTAAGTAACATAATATCAGCTAGTCAGTCAGTCGAATAAAACGTACAATCTGAGACATATGTCCATAAGTTTAATTTTTTATACTACATCACATCATCCCAAGTTACAAATATCTTTAGTCAGAGAAAATTTTAGTGGTTAGCTGGACTTAGTAAATTAGTCGATAACCTGTTGGTGTTAGGCACTAAGTTCAAGTCTCAATGTAAGCAGCAACAAATGAATGTAGGTATATCCGACTGATGAGTCCCAAATAAGACCATATACTGTCCTGGACTCCACTGCTAGCCACACAACAAATGTATTAAAACTTGTACCAGTTACGAAAGCAGTGATTTATTGCGAGGTATGTTCATATTTTATTCAATATATAAAATGAACTACAAATAATACTGTGTGACACCATCCAACTACCACAGTCAACCTATAGAAAATACAGTTGAGTGGTGGAATCATATATAATCTTAGTTTAAATAAATAAATTCCACAAATCATTTTATTATTAAATATAGAGTTACTGATTGTAACAAAACAGTCAGATGTATGACACGACACAAAACACACACAACGTACTTCAGATACTGATGAAACCAATAATAACGGCAAGGATAAAGTTGTAATATCGTAGTCGAAACAAATACGTAGTACAGCTGATATGGCATTGTGTAATGAAGATGGAATGCGTATATTATTATTACTTTCATAATCTTCATCAATGACCACTTGAAAAATAACATTTATACCATCACCGGTACTACTGATTAAATTAGAATGCTTAGTGATTAATACATCACCATGCATTGGTTCATAACAGTCAGATTTTGATTTAACTATAGGACAAAACAAAACAAAAGTTAAAGAAGAAAAATGTATATTGGTTAAAACTACTTAATTTAAGAAAGATGTCAAGTCATGGTGTCATAATATATCGAATGGTTAGTTATAATGTAGAAAACAATTTATTACTCTACTAAGAGTGTAAAATACAAATTCTGATGCAAGTATTAGATTAAAGATAGGAGGCTTATTTGTGACAATGAGATAGGTTCCTTTCGACTAACTAATCTAATAGTAGAGAATATGTTATGTATGTTAAGGAGGACAATTTTAGGTTTCGTTATGAACATGTTTTGGGCTGCTAAAACAATGAATTAGAATGTTGATGAACGGACAATGTGCAATCAGTCAGTCAGCTACAACGTAGGACCAGGCACATATATGCATTGGTCCAGGTTGCCATACCGCATTAACACAACAAGATGAACACCGGATTCATGGGAGTGGTTAGGTTAAAGGTGGTAATATATAGGAGAAAGATTGCATATAAGGATACAGTACCGGAATATAGAATTAGTTCGTAGAAAGAAAGATATGAGGCGATTTTAATCTCTTAGTTTAAGGGAAGATAGGGAGTGTATGCACCGACGCCATTGTGATCGATTCTGAGCCATGTCACCAAGAGTCTCCAACCATTGGTTACGAAAGTCACGCGGACCCCAACCAAGTAGTCTGCATCTACCAACATGGCTCAGACTAGAGGTTAGTGTCTTCAAGCACTGATGCCACGTTTTGGTTTGGCCGCCCCTAACTTTCTTCCAACCATCTCTAAAACCCGTTAGCATTGCACGACGTGGTAATCGGTGTTCAGGCATACGTAACATGTGGCCCAACCATCTCAGTCGATGAAGATTAACAACCTCATCAACTGATTTACCATCATTACCTAATACCATGCGTCTAACCTCACTATTACTTACCCGGTGATCCCAACAGACGCCAGCAATATTTCTAAGGCATCTGTGGTCAAATACTAGTAGCTTACGAGTGTCTTCTACTCTTGAAGGTCATGTTTCGCTGCCGTAAATTAAAACAGAATGAACTGCCACGCAGTATACTCGTCCTTTTATTGATAGACGGATATCTCGCCTTCCCCAAAGGTGACGTAAGTTGGCAAAAGCCAAACGGGCTTTTCGAATCCGTGCTGAGATTTCGTCCGATACCAACCCATTAGGGCTGATCCGACTTCCAAGATAAGTGAAGTTGTCAACGCGTTCGACTACTTCACTCCCTATCCTTAGTTCAGGTGTTGACGCAGACCAGTCCTGAAGCAACAACTTGCATTTAGAGGGAGAGAAGCGCATCCCAAACATTCTGGCATTGTTGCTTAGTGCTACCAGAAGACTCTGCATTGTATCAGCGTCTTCACCAAACAGGACTATATCATCTGCGTATTCTAAGTCGATAAGTGGACCTCCTGGAAGGAGATCAATACCTGAGAATTCAGTAGACGAGAATGTTATTTCCATCAGTAGGTCTATGATGAAGTTAAACAGAAATGGAGAAAGTGGACAGCCTTGACGGACACCACTCGAGGTTGCAAAAGTAGATGACAGTTCGCCATAAGCTCTGACTCGACTAGTAGTGTTCGAGTAAAGAGCCTTTACAAGGTTTATGTACTTCTGGGGTACGCCTTTCAATGACGGACACTGCCAAAGAATCTCGCGGTCTACCGAGTCAAATGCTGCTTTTAAGTCAAGAAAGACCACCATTGTCGGACGCCGATAAGTATGTCTGTGTTCTAGAGCCTGGCGAATGGTGAATATGTGGTCGATGCAGCCACGACCAGGTCTGAAGCCAGCTTGATTTTCTCGTGTTTGCAGTTCACGAGTTTTAGTTAGGCGTCTGATTATTATTGAGGCTAGTATTTTAGATATTATATTAGTTAAACTAATCCCTCTGTGGTTGTCACAAGATGATTTTGACCCTTTCTTATTTATTGGGACGATAATTGATTGTGACCAGTCAGATGGAATAACATCTGACTCCCAGATCTTAGCTAAAATATTAGTCAACCTAACCGCTAAAATTGGACCACCATCCTTAAAGACTTCTGGAGCCAGTCCATCTGGACCAGCAGCCCTTCCTCGTTTCAGATTAACTATAGCCTTTTGAACTTCTGCTACAGTTGGGGGACCTACTTCAATGTTCCATTCATACTGTCTGGGAATGGACGGTAGTTGTAGAGTCGCTGAAGGCCAGCTGAACTGTTCCCTAAAGTGTTCCGCCCATCGTTCTAAACGTCTGGACTGGGAATAGATGAGAATATCGTCCTTTTCCGAAATAATCTCACTTACACTTGACTTATTAGTTCCAGTTTCTTTTATTAGTCTGTAGAGCTGTCTTGTGTTCCCTATAGCCGCCGCCTTTTCCATCTCTTTTGCTTTCGTTGCCCACCACTGCTCACGGTCGTTTCTTAGACTTTTTCTTAACCTAGATCTGATTTGTTAACTCCGCCTGTAGCTCTTATAGGGTTACTGCCCGTCCCAAGCCCGGGTAAAGGAGGAGGGTTGGGCATGGGGTTAGCGTCCTCATCCCGTAGAAAACTAACTCGCTAAAAAAACGCTTACCAGAAAAAATAATCCAAACCATTTAAACTCTGCCCTGCGAGTTAGAAGGTCTTCATTTAGAAGAATTATGACGCTTCATGGTGAAAGCCGAGTTCCTTCGGAAGCCACGAGGCCGATGCCCCTTCTAACAACCAGAGCAAAAATTTTTATAGGTACATGGAACGTTCGAACAATGTGGGAGACTGGGGAGGCCAGTAAAATAGCAACGGAAATGAGGAGATACAACTTAGCAGTACTGGGAATCAGCGAAACCCACTGGACCCAAGCTGGACAACAAAGGTTAAATACGGAAGAGATGCTGCTATACTCTGGTCACGAAGAGGAAAATGCTCCACACACTCAGGGAGTTTCTCTAATGCTGTCCAAAGTAGCACAAAATGCACTTGTAGGATGGGAATCTCACGGATCCAGAATCATCAAAGCATCATTCAAAACAAAGAAGGAGGGGATCTTAATGAATATTATCCAATGTTATTCACCCAAAATGATAGCAACGACGGCATTAAAGATCAGTTCTACGAGCGGCTGCAGTCAGTCATTGAGAAACGCCCAAGAAAGGACCTAACTATTCTGATGGGAGATCTAAATGCCAAAGTCGGAATAGACAACACTGGATATGAAGATATTATGGGATGACATGGACTGGGAGAACGAAACGAAAATGGAGAAAGATTTGCAAATCTATGTGCATTCAACAAATTGGTCATAGGAGACACAATATTTCCACACAAGCGTATACACAAGGCTACATGGATCTCACCGGACCACACTACAGAGAACCAGATAGATCATATTTGCATCAACAAAAAATTCCGAAGGACAATGGATGATGTGAGAACCAGGAGAGGCGCTGACGTAGCTTCAGATCACCACCTAGTTGTGGCCAATTTAAAACTGAAGCTAAAAACGAACTGGACAAGTGGACAAACAGCACTACAAAGGTTCAATACAGCCTTCCTTCGAGATACTGACAAACTCAATGAATTCAAGATAGCTCTCAACAACAGGTTCCAAGCCTTACAAGATCTACTGAAAGAAGAAGAAACTAGTATGGAGGACAACTGGAAAAGCATCAAGGAAGCATTAACTTCAACGTGTCAAGAGGTTCTGGGTCTAAAGAAATACCATCATAAGGAATGGATCTCTACAGAAACACTGGACAACATCAAAGAAAGGAAGAACAAGAAGGCAGCAATAAACAACAGCCGAACACGAGCAGAGAAAGTCCAAGCACAAGCTGAATACATAGAAGCAAACAAACAAGTGAAGAGGAGCATTAGAGCCGACAAGAAGAAATACGTGGAAGAACTAGCAACGACGGCAGAAAAAGCTGCTAGAGAAGGAAATATGAAACAGCTTCACGATACAACGAAGAAACTAGCAGGGAAATACAGTAAACCAGAGAGACCGGTCAAAGACATAGAAGGCAAGCCAATCACCGAAATTCAACAACAGCGGAACAGATGGGTAGAATAATTCGAGGAACTCCTGAATAGGCCGGCTCCAATGAATCCACCGGACATCGAAGCGGCACACACAGATCTTCCCATAGACGTCAACCCACCAACGAAGGAAGAAATCAGAATGGCCGTCAGACAAATCAAGAACGGGAAAGCAGCGGGTCCGGACAACATACCAGCTGAAGCACTGAAGTCAGACATCGAAGCAACTACAAACATGCTTTACCTTCTATTCAAAAAGATTTGGGAGGAGGAACAAGTGCCAATGGACTGGAAAGAAGGGCACCTCGTCAAGATTCCAAAGAAAGGAGATCTGAGCAAATGTGAAAACTATAGAGGCATTACACTGCTGTCAATACCAAAGAAGGTCTTCAACAGTGTTGCTGAACCGGATGAAAGATGCAGTAGACGCCCAACTTCGAGATCAACAAGCTGAATTCCGTAAGGATCGACCATGCACAAACCAAATTGCGACACTACGGATCATCGTCGAACAATCAGTTGAGTGGAATTCGTCACTTTACATCAACTTCATTGGTTATGAAAAGGCATTCGACAGTGTAGATAGGAGGACATTATGGAAACTTCTTCGACACTACGGAGTTCCGGAGAAGATTGTCAACATTATCTGGAACTCATACATCGGACTTCAGTGCAAAGTCGTGCATGGAGGACAGCTGACAGATGTATTCCAAGTAAGGACAGGAGTCAGACAAGGCTGTTTACTCTCTCCCTTCCTCTTTCTTCTGGTGGTCGATTGGATTATGAAGACCTCGACATCTGAAGGAAAACACGGAATTAAATAGACAGCTTGGAATCAATTAGACGATTTGGACTTCGCAGACGACCTAGCCCTCCTTTCACGTACACACGAACAGATGCAGATGAAGACAGCCAGTGTAGCAGCAGTCTCTGCATCTATAGGCCTCAGCATACACAAAGGGAAAACCAAAGTCCTCAAATTCAAAGCGGAAAACAACAATCCAATCACTCTTGATGGCGAAACTCTGGAAAATGTAGAGTCCTTCACATACCTAGGAAGCATCATCGATGAACAAGGAGGTTCAGATGCAGACGTAAAGGCAAGGATTGGCAAAGCAAGGACAGTATTCCTACAGTTAAAGAATATATGGAACTCAAAACAACTTTCAACTAATATCAAAGTCAGAGTCTTCAATACGAACGTCAAGGCAGTTCTACTGTATGGAGCTGAAACTTGGAGGACTACAACAACCACCATCAAGAAGGTACAAGTATTTATAAATAGCTGTCTTCGCAAGATACTCAACATCCATTGGCCGGATACCATCAGCAATAGCCTTCTGTGGGAGAGAACAAACCAACTTCCAGCTGAAGAAGAAATTAGGAAAAGACGATGGAAATGGATAGGACATACATTACGCAAATCGTCAAACTGCATCACGAGGCAAGCCCTAATTTGGAATCCTGAAGGGAAGCGAAAAAGAGGAAGGCCAAAGAACACATTGCGTCGGATAATAGAAACAGATATGAAAACGATGAATTACAACTGGACGGAGCTAGAAAGGATTGCCCAGGACAGGGTTGGATGGAGAATGCTGGTGAGCGGCCTATGCTCCTTCACGAGGAGTAACAGGTGTAAGTAAGATCTGATTTGTTGTCGCTCTTCATTATGTTCAGAACCTGCTGGGACGAGTTTGCGAGAATCCATCAGTGTGATAGACCTTGAAGAAATCCACTGGTTCTTTGTAACTCTGTGGGTTAAGTCACTAATAGATTTCATTGCTGTTTCCACAGCTGTTTGCATATCTTTCCAAGCAACATCTGGGTCAGCCTCGTTTTCAGAACTACCTAAGTGTGACCTCAGTTGTTCCTGGAACTTACTTTTGGTTTTCTCGTTACTCAACTCAGTTCTAGTGGGTCTTTTTAATGTGGCTTTTTTGCGTCCAGTGAGGCGCAAGCAGATGCATGCCCGTATTAGGGCATGGTCGGAGTCCAAGCAGATACTCCAGAATGAGCGACAATCTTCTACCGACCCTCTCCAACGATGACTGATGGCAATATGGTCTATTTGAGTCCATCGTTGGTTTGGTGTAGGGGGTCGCCATGTCAGACGATGTCTCTCCTTATGCTTACAATTTGTGTTTGCTAAAAATAAACGATTGTCTGAGCATAGTTGCAGCAGACGATCACCATTATCTGTTCGTTGTGCCGGTATACTAAAATACCCACCTAAATGCCTTTCTGTTTGGTTTAAACTACCTATCTGGGCATTAAAGTCACCTGCTACGAGTAATATGTCTGAACGTTTAGCTATCTGAAGAAGTTCAGATAGCTTTCTGTACAATGTGCAATGACACGATGTAACCGATTGATAACTGTTCACGATGCTGAATTACTTAAATACATCTCAAAATGAACTGGTACTAAAAAACGGAAATAACACAACTGTCAAACTGAATGGGTGTTTTTTGGTAAAATCACACATTTATAAACAAAATATATTCAACGTAGAAATACAGTTAGAAGTCATATGAAATAAGTGATGGTATGATACAATTTAGGTAGGCTCCAACGAAACTAAAACTTAATTATTGCTCGTCATACCACAACCATTTACAGTTTAAGTTTTTGGTTTCATCCTTGGAACTTGGAGATGATATTGCAAATGATTCACTGATACTTAGACTACAAGGAAAAATTGGCAAAGATGTAGCTATTACATCAGAGTCCAGTAACAGACAAGCTAAAAAAGGAGAAATACCTAATGAGAATAGGTAACACAGATAAGTAATAACAATCTCATTCCGTTAAGTTTGAGGAATCGAACAAAAGTAGAGTAGTGAAAGTAATGTTGTGATTATACTGATGTATTTTAATCTCAAAAACATTTACAAGCGTTTTTTTAAAGATTAGATCCTAAGAACTTTGAAAGATTTAAAGTGTAACACATTGAAAAAATATATACAAAGAATCACTGTTACCCATGGGGGACTAATTGAAATTAGCTGTGAATTTAATGGGGAAGTTACAGTAATAAAATGGTTATCACGTCAAGACATTTAAGTCAATGAAATGTTAAATATGAAATAATAATCACAACAACAATCCGACAAAAAGAGAATTGAATTATTTGCACTGTAGCGACCAATCTTGAGTGATAGCCTTAACCACAAATACAATTGACTTACAAATCATAACCATGAAGTCTGAACCTCTTGACACAGCTCAATCCAAAAGTCAACGATGGATGTCATGGTTTGGGTTCGGCAACCACTATATATTTGATAAGTTTGATGTACCTTTTTTTAAGTGCAGACTTATGCATTTCGCTTTGCAGTCACAACATTAACAGCGGAGTAACTAGCAATAGCGGGAAAAACTCGTTTACTAAGACGTTATAAGTTACATGCTGTTGAATAAGAAATAAACAGCAGTATAGACATATGTATATAGTGAGCGATTTCAACCGGTGACTCATGAAGGTTTAATTCATAGCCAAGTGAAAGTAATATTTTTATTAATTTAGACCATAATATGAGGTGTGTATATTTATCTTTTTTTAAATACACTTAGTGTAGCTTACACCATGTAGTCCCTTTTCTATGGCTTCAATTGAAAGGGGTAAGTGAGAAAAAAATTTCGAGAGAGTACTTCATTAACAATGCTACGAGTTTCATTCTACATAGTTGTATGCTATTATCAAATGGAAAGCTTCTAATTGAAAGTAGGTAGTTTTCTGAAATTTAGATAAACAAGGGAAGGGAACAAATCTGAATGATTTTTGTGTACACAATGAGTAAATGAATATACATTTAACTGTCAATTCAGCAAAATCCGATTAAATCTCATGTATACACGAATAACAATAGACAAAACCATATACCAACCTGTAGAAATTCCACTACACAAATCATTATTTCTTAATTTAGATTCACCATTTAATTCCGTTAACTGACGTGATCCCAAACGATTAACTGTTTCCTGTATAGATTCTAACTGGGAGCCGAATTCCGGGAAATGTAATTCAGTAGACTGCTCACACGCATCCGCTAAAACTATTTAAACGAAAAAATAAAGAATAAACATACAGATTAATAAAATCAAAACTTCCAGCCACATTATTTCTATAAGATCACAAGTGATACTGTTTGGTTAACCAAAAACAAGTGAAATGGGGATTCGATTTAACGATCTATTTGCTAAAAATTAAGTGTGCTTTAATCACAAGGAATCAATAATTATAGATAGAGGAAGGTTATTATTTAAGATTTTACAATAATTTATCATAAACCAACAAAAAATAACTATTTAATTAAGTAATGAGAATGAAAAAGAATCCTGTACATTACACAATATTCCGTCACTTAAGGTTTAATTATTAACACCAAAAATGATAATTAATAGTTAATGCTTCAAAACCATTCTACTAAGTTTTTGATTGAGATCATGAACCAATTGATATTAGACCATCACAATTGAAAACCTGGAAGCACTGGACGGCCGTTTCGTCCTATTGTGGGACTCTTCAGCAGTGCGCATCCACGATCCCGCGAGCGGGATTCGAACCCAAGGGCCTTCGGTCTCGCGCGCGAACGCTTAACCAACTGGACCACTGAGCCGGCATCCAATGGTGATAGTTTCTAACATCAACCAATCCACGAAATTGCGCGACCAACTTCCATTGTACTGAGGTAGATAACTGTCTCTACCCGACAAGGATTAGCTCCACTGGTCACGGCTTCTCATTAGAACTCCGAGAATTCCCTCACGAAGCTAGTCACTAGTGAGCACATGTTGATTACTAGTATAGGAGTTGTGGAGATTGGTTCATGATCTCAATCAAAAACTTAATAATCTCCACAACTCCTATACTAGTAACCATTCTACTAAGGTACAACGTTTGAAGATTTCATTCGTTGACTTTGCATAGTTGTAGCATCACAACAGTATTTAATACCTAATTATAACACTTTAAGACAGACTTTAGGTTATTTGCTTTGCACTCTTTGGATACTCTCTTGTGTAAGTTGCTTTTATTGATGTGTGCCATATGCAGTTCATCCATGCTAACAGACTTAAATAGATACTCTAATTAAAAAAATCTGGAATAAAGTTAAAAGAGTACAAATGAATGACCATTGAATTACATACTTTAACAGTTCTTTGGTATATAACCTTTATTATTACAAGTTATAGAAATTACTAACTTACGTTTCTTAATTCCACGGAAAGAATTAATTCGTTTATCCACTAGAATCATTAAACCGTTTAAATTGTTTGAATATATGTTTAAAGCATTGTTCATACGTTCAGCTAGCCAGTCATCATCAAGCAAACTGTACAAAGTAAAAGTGACAATAATTATAAGAATCTCAATACGTACAAAGTAAAAAAAGTAGTTCAACCACTGAATGTAATTTCCAATCCTACTATGTTTATTTAAAAAAGGTGTACTAATTAACGTGAATTGCGTAACCGAACTAATCATCATTCTCCAATCACTTAAGAACTAACTGTTAGACTCAATCTTTGGCATCGTATCAAACGTTCGGTTAGTCAGTCATCAACAACGTAAAACTTCGTACGTACGTACATCAGTTCGAGTTGTCATACCACATTAGTACACAGATATAATTTTCAATTCAAATCCAGTAGTGGTAGAGGTAGTAAAATATACAGTAATCGGAGAGACTAAGGTTTGAAGATGTTATTCAAAGAGTATAATCCAGTGAAATAAATCTGGAAAGAGGAAAAAAGGGACATGAAGAATTCAAGATTAGAATTTGGAGGACACAAAGAGTGGATGCACTGCGCAATTGCAGACGATTTTGCACCATGTCATTCAGGGTCTAACCATCGGTTGCTATCATTTCGCGGTCCCCAACCAGGTAGTCTACACCTCAACATGGCTCAGTCCACTTGTCAGTGACTTCATGGATTTGTGCCATGTTTT